TCCAGCGGAGGTTGCGTGCGAGGTGACGACGATTTTTCGTCGGAGATTGGGTGTACAAGCGCTTGCTCACCGGAGCTACTCCTCGGCGGATTTCCTCTCCGGCGACCGTCGAAGCTTCTGTCTCCTCGGTGAGGTCAGTTTTCAACGCACACACTTCTTCGTGTCGTCTATGGATGGTTCCACATGTTGTGTGTGTGTGTGTGTGTGTGTGTTCTTAGGCTAGATTCCCAAACCCGTCGTTGCAACATAGTGACATACGGAATTTTTGTTCTTAAGCTAGGTCCACGAATATGAATGGTAGAGCAAAGTGATTTGTTGGAGTGCTACATCTACAAAACTGATGTCAGTGCAGTGCATTTTTTGAACCTCCCATGTGGTTTGTTGCCATGATTAGAGTAAAATATGAATGCACTATTTTTTCGGGGATGGCAACTTATTAGCTTCAATAGTATACCTAGGCGGCAACTTGTTTGACTGTCTACTAGACAGTGGATGGCAACTTCTTTCCAAAGTTGTTCATCAAGCATATTTTTGTCTGCTATACTCTGCATTTTCATCTGCTTATACCAGAGTACACTCTGTTTTCTTGCTAGAGAGGTACCTTTTTTCAATATGTACAGACAATTGATGCTACCTTTGCAACATACACAAAGTACGTTTTTATCGTGTCTCTCTGCGATGTGAGATTCCTTTCATTCCTAGTGTTCACCCCGTTCATGCTGATGGCAAGTTTCTGACGTTACTACTGTCAACTACAATTTCGTACATATATACGTGTGACTTTCAGAGAGAGTGAATCGTGCGAACTATGTTTCCGCTTTCTTTATCTGCTGACTACGGCTTAGTCGATGGCAATTTACCACATGTCCCATCTATACTGTGGATGGAACTACAGTGCTATCATACCTGTTTATCTTGTTTTTTTGCAGATATATTTCCATTTTTGATGGCAACTTTTGCATACTTAACATATGTACATGTCCTAGTTCTTCTGCATGTCATTTCTCACCACCTGCCGCACTGTTAGTGTGACTTCACCATCAGCCACATGGCAACATTCTTACTATTTGTGCTTCACATTTCTGAGCTGTCATCTTCTAGTACACATACTTAGTTCACGCTTTAGGATGGCAACTTTATTACCACTCAGGGTGCACTGACGTTTCGTGTTGACATTTTTTGGCAGCACTATGGTTCGGAACGCCCCTGACTCTGACGATGATGACTTCATGCCTCCCAGAGCTGAAGTTGCGGGTGCTGCTAACCGGAATGCAAAGAAGGTATGTACAGTCCACATGCCTCTATCTTTCCTTTTCATGTTAAACATGTTTTTGTCTGTGATGGTACCAACCCCTAAGCCCATATTATCACCTTTTCTAACTTAAATTTTTGCACATGTGTTTAACAGCAGAAAGCCGCACGCAATAGGGGGATCACATGAACGCCTAACGGGACTGTATGAAGATTTCGATGATGCCCAGAAAGAAGCTGCAAAGGAAATCGGTATGCAGGCGTTGATGAACATTCAGTGCACTAACTTAAATAACCCCATGTGTGACTGGTTTGCGAGGTTATACCATCCGGACAAGAGGGAATTTGTCATACCAGGACGTGGTAGGATTCCACTTGATGAGGAATCTGTTTTCAATACACTTGGTGTCCCCAATGGCGGCATGGATGTCCCATACAAGATACGGAAGTGCAATCACGTCTTTTTCCTGAGATGTTCCCTGGTCTTACATCCCTCCCGGCGAACTCTGCTTTCGCGAACATGCTTGCTGCGATGGAAGCTGCTTATGTACCTCATCTCAAATGTGTTTGCTCCATGACATCGTTATGGCCCAGCAGCAGATGCTTCCCTGTTTTGGTATGAACTTTTTGCCATGTACCCCGCGTGCACCTTACCTGCTTAGTCATTCATTTTCATTTGTTAGCTTTGAAGACCATTACCTCCTTTTTTTCACCAAAATAATGCCGCAGCTTGCGCTTTTTTCCTTGTTCTTTTGTCATTTCCTCCATCTCACAGGACCAGATAGGGAATGTTGCCAACATGAACTGGTGCAAGTTCATAGTTGGTTTCCTTCACACTTGACTGTCAAACAAAGCGTTCAACAAAGGCTGTCGGCTGCATCTGATGGCAAGTTTACTTAATGCCAAACCATCTTTCTTTTATATTCTTATTCGCACCCCTTCCCATACTCGACTCTGCTTTCTTACTTATTTTACGCATTACAATTTTTTTTCTATGCCAGTGGCTTGACCTGCATGTCTCACACATTCTCTTCAGCTCATGTATGTCGATAAGCTTGACATCAACACTGTCAAACTTAACCCGGTTGGTGGACTGCCTGCACCTCACAGATTTGCTGCGTGTGCTTGGACTGATGCTGCAATCAAGGCTGTTCTCGCTGCGGACAGGAAGCCCGATGGGACATTTGGCAAGCTACAGGCTAGTCCTTCTATCCGAACTATACTTTATGGCCCATGGCCCAATTCTTTCCTGTCTTATCGTTAGCAATTTAGTTTTCTACATAAATCATAAATTTTACTATACATTTACCCCATGGCAACTTTAACTCAGCTCACATGGCTTCATTGCCATGCTGTTGTACATCTATACAATTGCCCCTTACAATTATCACTTCAACAAGGCACACTTAGAAAGTTCTCCTGCATCATGGCAAACTCGCCGTCCATCAAATAGTTGCGACCATTTTTCACATTTTTCTTGCCATGAAAAATGACCGCTAATTGCCACTTCAAACGATAACTTCAACATGGGAAATTCAGTTATTTCACCATTGCAAATGCATTTTATCGATCATGGTCAATTTCATAATTGACCATGCCAAATTTAGTTCTCACATTTCATTGATGAATTTAGTTTACTTTCATCTTTTTACCGACTTTTCAAACTTGCCACCTTTTCTTCTTCTTCTTTTCAGCTTATGGGAGAGCATAATGTTGACTACAACATCTTTGGGCCCCCCGACAACTTCGGCAAATGGATGGACAGTCACACAAATGATGCATGCCCTTTAACTGTTAGTACCACACAACTTTTTCTTATGCATCAATTTTTCCAACATAACTCATACCCTTTGCTGAGCATTTTTGGCCTCTTCCATTTTTTCTTTCTGTGTTTTCCAAATGCAAGCGCGAAGTAACGTCGAGAATCTCGTTGGACAGTTCCGGTATGACCAACCTCCTTGGCAACCTTGTATGGGGCTGGACTGCAATGTCGGCTGGTGACAGAGAAGAAGTTGCCAACCAGTTTCGTTCTTTTGTTCGCGGTGGCACTTCTCGTCCAACTGGGTCTAGTGGTAGATATGACCACAACGATTCGCAAGAGGTACCCCCTAGCAATGAAGACTTATCAGTTGACGATAGTGACTTCAACGGCGATGAACCGCAAGACGAAGCCCGTAATGATGGCGATAACAGAATGGACGACAACGAGCATGACACGTCGCCTGAGCACAATTGCGGAGGTGCTGAGACATCCATCGTATAGGGTTTGGGCGGTCGTTCTGGTACTCAAGCCTCATATAGGGTTAGGGAAGCACAAGACCCCGTTGCTGCTAGAAAGCGGTATACTTTCCTCTTCACCACTGCTTCTTGCAATTTTAAATCATTTATTTATTTATTACATCTATTTTCTGCTTCATACTTCCCACTCGGCAACTAATGCTTTTTTGTTTTTCTCGTAGGGAGGCAACCGCTGGCGGAAGAGTAACCACCGAGAAAATCGCCCAACAGCCTCCCAGATCTTCTGCTCGTGCAGGCAAGGCTCAGACGACTATACGTTCATCTCCTCGCTTCATGTCCTCCAACACGGGAGGTTCGGTTGTCCTTGAGGACATGAGGGGTGTGGCTAAAAGGTTAGCACTACGACATATGTACATTTTTTAAGTGTTATGTTTTTGTATGTCTACCTTTACATACATTTACATGATAACTTTTAGATGTCCATACATGGCAACCTTTTACCTTGCACACTTATGTCACCCCCACTTTTTTGCTCTCATACCTGCTAAGGTGGCAACTTTACTTCATTACATTTTTCTTCTACCACATGTCCCAACTTTCGGGGTACCCTCCATGTGGTAACTTGAACCCCTACAGAAATGCCTTTTCATTACTACCTACTGATCCACATCATGTGCACTTTCTATTTCTGCTTCATCTTATCTTCGTTCATAGTTACAAATTATTAACCACATGGCAACTTTTCTGCTTCTTTCATACTTCCAACTTTTCCCCCTCTGTTTTGCAGTCCTTTAACCTTCATTTTACACCACAGTCAATTTTTTCACTTATGACTTTCATGCACGGCAACTTACAACCTTTCTATTTGTTACTACCTTACTTACATGCAGGCTAAAGAAGAGAAGCAATGTGTCTGCTCATACGACTAAACATTCCAAGAAAGACCCCTTGCAGCGCATGCATGCTAAGCTTGCTTCATCTGACAATGTGGACTTTGTTAAAGCATCTGCTGCCACTAGTTCTCATGCAGCAGCCAAGTTGTTGTCATCTGTTGTTGCTGTGTTGACCGGCAATGAAGGTGCAACATCAGGGGGCTCTAATGAATTGATCTCCCCAAGATCAGCTGACGTTGCACCGGCATTGGTATCGATGAGGCAAGGGCTCGAAGGTAGCCCACTACTGTCTGATCTTCCACACCAACCACACCAGCCTAAGGTGAATGCACCAAACTCCACTGTTGATACGTCTGACAAACCTTAGTCAGTAGGTAAAGATTGCACAAGTTTGGCTGCCTCAATTGCTGTTCAAAACAAGGGTCCGGCAGTTACGCAACAAGGACATCAGGCTGGCCCGCATGATCGTGCTGCTCATACGCACACTGTTTCCAAAGCTGCTCCACACGTTGCTGACAAGAAATCAGCTAAACAGGCAGTCGGTACCAGGAAGAGCACTCGGAACAAAGCTGATCAGCCAGGCAACGTGCATCGTCAGGACATAGGGTATGTGTCTGCGTCAACCTTCTTCCCGCCTGCCCCCAGGGCAAGATCGTCGATCTAGTTCAGACAAATGTACTTGGAGGTGGAACGGTCCAGGAACCGATAGTCCCTCAGAAAGAAAAGATTCATCCAAATCCAACGCTCAAGCACACATGTGTCCCACTAGATATGGGGGTCCCTTACACTCCAAGAGTTAACCATCAGTGAAAGGGACAACCAAGAAGGTGCCTATCGATATTCCGGACATGACTCCGCGCCCTACTTCCAATCCTAAGGATGCTGGATCAGTTGACAAGGACGTCTTTGTTGATCTGTCTCCGTTGGCAGCGTCTCTTGGTGTGACCGGGAAGCAGAATGAGCGCGAGTTCAGGCACCCTATTGTTTTCACGCCACCACCGTTCAGCCTCGAAATTGATTTGAGCCAGCCAATTGAGCCAGTTGATGCTATCCCAGCGTCTTATGCATTCCCGTCACAACCGGAGCAGATGATGGCGCAGCCAATTGTTGATGGCAGAAAGGCTGTCAAATTTGCCGAGCCTATTGTTCAAGGTACTATCCACATATCACTTTTTGCGGTGGCAACCTCACTTTTTTTCTTTTGTTGGCAATTCCAAGATGTTGTACTCCATGTGTCATTGCCCTATTTTGTCATCTTTTTCTTTCTAGTAACTGCATGGCTGTTTACAAATTGCCTTCCTGACAAGTTTGTTTACCACACGCAGGATCACCTATGGAGATATCATCATCAATGGATGAAGCCCTATGCAAGATGGAGCAGGATGTGCTCCTCCAGAAAAAAATGCAGCCAAAAGCCCCTTCTAGCTCACCTGTCGCACACGCTACCACTTCTGTAGATGTGCAGAGCAGTGCCACCCCAGGTTCTGTGCGGCAGGCAAGGGTTGTGCAACCCCCCCCCCCCCAGAAGTGGACTATGAACCTCCAATAAAGGCCACAAAGCAACAACAAGCACTTTACGAAATCATTAGGTGTTTTGGAAATGCGTGAAGCAATAGCAAGCATATGAATGCAATCAGAGAGTAAGTTTCTGCTCATCCTCCACTTCTTGTGTAGCGACCCGACCTTAAACGGTCAAGTCTCCGTGCTTCAGTGTCATCCCTGGATCGGTAATGCTGACACACACAGTACTCGAAGGATTTATAACAGAGTAGTAATCACACACTTATTACATCGAATGTCTCAAAAGAGAATTTATTACAATAATATGGCTTAAGGCCATCTAATGCGACAATAACGGAAGGCTTGGAAGATAAGTGAGTCCATCAACTCCAACGTCATAGCTGAGCTGCACGACAACGACCTAACGAACCTTACTCCTCGTCTGAAAAGTCTGCAACATAATACATTGCAGCCCGAGAATGGGTCAGCACATGAAATATGCTACCAATGTAACACAGTAAAGCAAGAACAGAATAATGCTATCACTACATGCATATTTGGCTGGTGGAAAGCTCTATGGTTATAGTTTTTGCGAAAAGTCAATTTTTCCCTACAACAAAGGAATAGATTTTAATTTAACTATCTTGGTGGTTGAACAAATATTGAGAAGGTAACCCCAACTCAATGCCAATTAAGTAATTAACAACCCAACAATATTAATTAAGAGTGATGAGATACATGTGATAACCCAAGTACTAGATACTCAAGATTGTCCATAACCGGGGACACGACTAACCACGATTAGATTGTACACATTACAGAGGTTTGCGCACGTTTCCCCACAAGACTTGATCGCCTCCGTTGTCTTTCTCGCACTACACGGTGTTTGAGAAACGGATGACCGAGACACAGTCTCTCAGAAACATTAACTCTCTACTCCGGGTAGACCATACCAAACCTACAAAACCCACTACCTGCTGAGCCACCTCTTCGAGAGCTTCACGTAACTTACTCAACTATGCTAGAGCCCATAATAGCTTGTGGCTGCACATGGAAGTTTCTAGCATGAATCATCCCAGTTCCCTTTGAGCCTGGGTGGCGGTCCATAGGAAGATCACACGGGTACCCCGGGATTTCCAAAAAAAAACAGGCAACACTGGGTTCCCCAGGTGCCTCAATCCACCCAGATGTGTATTCAAGTTGTCACCTTAAGTTGAACCATTAATTAATAATCTCACATTTGTCATGGATTTCACTTAAACCCAAACCACGTCTACGAGCATAGCATAGCAATAAGCAACGCGCAGAAGTAACTCCCAAGGGTTTGATAGTAACAGGGTAATAGGTTCTACCTCAACAACTACTTCCCAACCCACAAGTTAATGACTTCCTAATCATGCAATGTGTGAGGATTGGAACTAATGCAATAAAACTAGGTATGAAAAGAGTATGATCAATGTGTTACTTGCCTTGCTAACGATCCGTGAAACCTAGAGACTCGTAGTAACACGCTTCGCACTCCGGGTGTTCTATCGCAAACAAACAATAACATACATAAGCAACAAGCAAAGATGCACAAGCAAAACTCAAATAAGAGGGGTTGACCAGAAAGTTCAACTTAAGAACTCCGGTATGCAAAAAGAATCAAATCAAACGGAGCAACGAAATTCAAACGGCGAAAGAAACAAGATCCGTTTACTAATATGAACTAAGGTCAAATTTTACAGTAGCAAAAACTTGTGCAAGTTGGTTAAACAGAAAGAGGGTCTCGAGACGAAGATCCAGGCGCTTGAATCGCCTGATTCTGACTAACGAGCAAAAAGATAAACATAAACTAAGATCGGATCAGAAATCGCGATCGAGAAAACTGCAGATAAATCTGATAAAAAGAAAACTGACGAACAGTCTAACGAATGAGCGTTCGTTAGCTGTGACTAACAGGCGAAAACCGTTCGTTAAAACGAACGTACGGACGAATGTCCGCTAAATAGAAGAACCAAGAAGAACCGGTGAACCAATAAAAAAACGAACTAGGGTTTCTAAAAAAACCCGAACGGTTTAAAAAAACCGGCGGCTCGGGATCCTGCGCGGTACCTCCGACGAGGGGCTCCGGTGTGGCAGGGTTGGGCGGCGTGGCGGCGGCTCACGGGGCGGTGGCGGCGGCGGCTGGCGCGGGCGGCG